CCGGACTAGTAGTATAACGGTCGAAACGGTAGAACGGTACCTAGCCGTAGGTCGATCGTATACTCTACGCCGTTTACTAATTTGCTACGCTATTCGTCTATAGGAAACAAGACGTCGTAGTAGTCCCGATATTCTATTAGCAACTCCGTAAGCTCTAACCCTACGTCTGTCCTACGTACTATTACTACGTATACGTAGGACGAGTTCTTTAGGTCCTTAAAGAAATCCGGTACCTCTCGGACCTTAACGTACAAGTGCTCGCTACTGTAGCGCTATTCGTCGGTAGTACTGTCTACTACTACTTACTAGGTACGGCGCTACGGCCGCCCTAGGATAAGATTAGGTTCCGGCGTATCGTAGGTATAAAACAAGCCGCCTATCGTACGCTCGTTATCCGCGGAGTCTATAAGGGTTATACAGATATAGTACGCTCCGTAGTAGTAGCCTAACTAGCCTATAAACGAGCTCGCCGGCGGTAGGAGTACGTTCCTACGGACCGTAAGGTTATACTTTAGTACGAAGCTACGCGATACTATATTAATGTTAGCGGCATCGTCGAGTAGTATAGTAGCAGGGGTACGCCCCTTATACGTCTCGACTTATCCTTCGAGGATATAAGTATAGTATACCTAGATAGGCAAAGGTATATCGCCGTTAAGATTAGTATCTAGAGATTGCGACTCTCCTCTAATACCTTCTCTTTTTTCGACGCTTGCTCTTTAGGTACGGTAACCCTACGAACCGTATTCGCCTTATCGCGGCTTGCGTAGTTAGGGTATACGGAGTCGGTCGCGATATATCCCTTCTTCTTATAGGAGTAATACTCTAGGTTCTCGTACCCGCGTACTATCGACAGCGTTATAGTCGATAAGATACGCCCGTCGCGTAGGACCCTGCTCTTACTACGATCCTATCGATCGTAGTTTTGCGGTACGTCGCTCTCGGTACGCTTGCGTTTGCCCTACGCGCTATAGTCGCGCCGATAGGGCTCGTCCTTAGTATAGACTACTAGGGCGTTGTCTGCTTGTTCTAGGCGCCTTACTAGGTTTACGAGCTCTACTCGCGTATTAGGGATAGTATATCCCTTAACGATGTCCCTACGTAGCGACGGCTTTAACTTTGCGAGGAAGTAGTATATCAGCTATGCTTACATATAGTCAAACTAGGCTTCTAGATAACTAAGCTACGCTACGAAATAACGGACGCTCTAGTCCGGGCCTTAACGTACCCTTTTATACTTAATTATTACGCCGATCTAACGGTTCGACTAATCGCCGACGGTATTGCGGAGCTATCCCTTAAATTCCTCCTAAGTATAGTCCTCGGGGATTACGTCGGAATACTCGTCGTACTACGTCTCCTACGCTTCGCCTACGAGCTATATAATACTATATAGGACCTTATCTTAATCGGTTCGATATTCTCGGAGGGTACTAAGGAATACGACCTCGAGGTACCTAATAAAGTTACGATATTCCTTATCGGTGTCTCCTTTAAACGGCTTAGGTTCTCGAATCTTAGAGCCCCTATATAGGGAGTAGGTACGCGACGGGTTCGTAGCCCGCCTACGTACATTACGTAGGTCCGTCGACCTAAGGTCTTCCTCGAGTCCGTCGAGAAGATCGGGCTCGGTATCGTCGTTATCTATAGTAACTATAACGGCTAGAGTTAGTACTCGGCCCTAAATTTGCTCCTATAGACGTTAGTTTTCCCTCTTAAGGGCCTGAACTTCTAACTCTATATAGAGACGCTAATTTGCCTCCTCGAGCTATATATATCTAGTATACGGGTCGACTACGTAGGCCTCTAGCTAGGTAGGAGCCTCCTCGAAAGGAGTCTCCCCTAGGTTCCCGTCTACCTAGGTATTTGTAGAGCCCGATACCGTCTCCTCGGAAGATTAGGTATCCTCGTCTACTTCGCCGATAACGCGGCCTGCCTACGCTATAGCTACGGCGCGGTCGCGTTGCTATCGTAGGGCTATCGGACCTCTATAGATCACTACCCTTTAGAAGGATAGAAGAATTAGAAATATAAGAGTAGGGTATATATAGTAATATATAGAGCGTCCTTCCTACCGCGTAGGAAAAGGAACAAACTAATTCTTGTCCTTCGGAAAGGAGAGAGCGGCGTCGTATAATATACCCCTACGCTAAGCATACGTAGGCGCTACGCCGCGCGGGCGGTCGCCCGATAGCCGATCGCCCGACGACTCGGATTGTACTACTTCTACAGCCCGTCCTGCCTTAGGCTAACGTACCTTAGGCTTAAATACCTAACCGCCCCCTAGGGCTATATGCCTCTAGGCCTAGCTATTACAATAGATTATAGTAAAGTTAAACAATACGGACTGCTATATACTTATATACTACTACCTATAGTAATTAAACGGAAGCCGATTACTCGTAGTATACTATACCCTCGTTACTTTGCGCGCAATCGTTCCGTTTACGCTAGTAACGCCGTCTAGTAGACACCGAACTAGTAGAATCAATACGACGCTATAACGGATAGACTATAGGAGGCATTACCGTAACGCGCGGACAGTTATAATTGTATATAGGCTTCTATACTACGCTAGTTAAGTTGCTTACTATTACTACGAGCTACGGACTATAATACCTATATAGACAAGCTCGAAGCGTTCGAAGCCGTTTACTTAACCGGCCTATAGGCTACTTAACGCGACCGTTTACTACTAGAAGCGATTCTATTTACGGTACCTACGAAGCCGGCTTAGTATCTACTACTACCGCAGTTGCCGAAGCGCGGCAATAAGACGACTAATAGGCTTATAACGAGCGTAGAGGTAGCTAGTAAAGATATAGCGTTAGCTAAGAAGGCTACTACTATCGCGTTACGCTCCGAATTTGTAGCTTAGTAGTATGCTATTGTAGCCGACGTACTATAGACAGCTGTAAGTAATAAGTTAGTAGAGGTTAATACTACCGAGCTAGTACGTAGCCGTAGCTATAGATACGGCCGTAGACGTCCGCGCGGCCGTAGTCGCGGTCGCGGTTATAGTATTATATATAGTAAATTAGTCGAGACTAACGGTTTAGCGTCCGGTAATAGTAACGGTAGCGGTAATAGTAGCGGTAACGGTAGCGGTAATAGTAGCGGTAACGGTAACGGACGTATAGTCGAGGGTAACGGGGCTAGAGGTCGTTAAACGCGCTTTATAGGCTATAAAGTAGTAGATTATATAGTATTGAATAGTACTTTACGTAGGTAGTTAATATATATATATATAAGTAATATTTAGCCGGAGCTAACGTTAATCCGCGCCGAGGCTTAGTTATCCGGATGCCTACTGCTTAGTTACTTCCGAATCGTCCTTTAAGATCGTCCTGTCCCTTAACTCTCGCTGCTATATATATATATATATAAATATCTCCTCTCCTTTTTCTCCCTTCCTTCCTCTTAGTAGCGCGATAGTACTAGCTCTTTATATACTACCTAACAACTATCTACCTACTAAATAGTATATACTTACAAATAACAAACATTTATAGCTACCTGCCTTAAATATTGCTAATACGAAGTAACCGTACTATACCCTATACCTTAAAATCCAGACGTAGTATTATGTAAACACACTTAAATTAGTTGTAGCAGATAGCTATCTTTACCTTATAGTCCGCTTTATAACCTACTATTACGTCTATATCGATATTCGAGATGTCGCTATCGCTATTACTATCGCGCGGATTCGCGATCTGTTACGTATATACGCGATCTTAAACTTAGAGACAGCGTACTTATAATAGCGACAGCAATACCCCGAGTATCGATATAGACGTAACGATACGTTGCAAAGCAGGTTGTAAGGCATCGATCGCCGCTTTCTAGTACTGATTTGAGTGTGTTTTAGGTATATTACCTATTTTGCGAGCATTTTGGGCATAGTACGGTTACTTCGTAACGGCAGTATAGCAGTATAATAAATCCTTCCCGCTCAATCAAACAACCTCAAAACATCATCCGCCCCTCTCCCCCCCTATTTCGGCTCTCTCGCCCAAATCATCTCCCGAAAGGCCCAAACAAAAATAAAATGCAGGGCGGGCGAGCAGAATTTAAAAAAACCTCAAGGTACCCTCAAGGGTGTAATGCATGGCCTCCTCTACGCGGGGTCTCCGCAAAATAAAAAAACCCCCGGATGTAACCTAGGGTGTAGTTTAATAAGACCCTAGTACCTAGTATACACATGCTCACACGCACGCTGCACACGCTGCACGCACACGAGAGAGAAAGAAGAACGTGATGCGCAAGGATTATTGAATGGGAAACCAACAAACAACCTACGTTCTCTCTCTCTCTCTCTCTCTTATGCGACTCATATAGGTATGCGAGGTTTTAAAGTTTCTGTAACAACAACCTAACCGTAGTAGTATGTAACTATGTACATACAGTATGTAGTCAGTAGATGGCACAGCATGGAAACAAGGAATCAACGTATGAAAAAATAAAAAAAATTCAAATCACTCGTGAACGAGAAGGAATACAAAATTCGACGAATCGACGTGAGACGAACAGACGAGAACCAGCCTGTCGGGCAGCCATGTGAGAAGCTTATATAAAAAAGAAAAGCCAGCCCTAGCTGACCTGGGGGCAATCAAGTGTTCGAGGGGATAATGGATGGGACAAGGGGGGATGTGGGTGGAAGCGAAGCGAAGAGATACATCGATGTGCTCAGAATGGGTCACGATGGGTTGGGGACTTTTTATCGATACATACCTTATATACCTGACCTTACATACATGTAGTTGATCTAAGTATCTCTCTCTTACCCCTCTCTCTCTACCCTCCTCCCAGCTCCACATCTCTATCTCTTTTCTCGTCTCATCTTGTCGCAGCTTACTGGGACTATTTGGCTGCTGCTTCATTCACGCCTTGGTCGCGTGTGAGTGCGAGAGAGAGAGTGTGTGTCGCGACGCGGGAAATACCAAGCCCACAACACAAGATCTTCCCCCCCTTTTATTTTCTCTTTTGGTGGTTTTACAATGACGATTTTCAAAAAACAATCCCTCAAGACGGGAAATGCGAGCCGTACGAAAGCTTCGGAGCTTACACTGCGGCAATCAATTTGTACGACGCAACACCTCACCCAGAGAACATAAAAAAAAGTGTAAACCAAAAAAAAAAAGAGAACAGAACAAAAAAAAAAAAACTAATCCTCCCTCCGACTTTTAGATCCCCTCTGCCTAGTAACAATCCTCTTCTTCCTCTGGGGCTTCTCCTACGGCCTCCTCGACACCCTCAACAAACACTTCCAAAACACCCTCGGAATCACTCGCGCGCGATCCTCCGGCTTGCAAGCCGCCTACTTCGGCGCCTACCCACTCGCATCTCTGGGCCACGCCAACTGGCTGCTACGCCACTACGGCTACAAAGTCGTCTTCATTTGGGGATTGTGTTTGTACGGCATTGGAGCCCTCGTGGCGTGGCCGTGCATTCTGCACAAGTCGTTTGGAGGGTTTTGCGCGGCAATTTTCATCATTGGAAATGGTTTGGGCTCGCTCGAGACGGCTGCGAATCCGTATATTACCGTCTGTGGACCGCCGAGGTATGCGGAGATTCGGATCAATTTTTCTCAGGCGTTTAATGGGGTGGGGACTGTGGTGGCGCCGGTGTTGGGGTCGTATGTCTTTTTTAAGAAGGTGGATGATAATACGGATTCGTTGAAGACGGTGCAATGGGTGTATCTCGCCATTGCGTGTTTTGTGTTTGGACTGTCGGTGGTGTTTTATTTGTAAGTTGAACTGACTGACTGACCTTTTTCTTTTCTTCGTTATGATGATGATAATGGTTCTGACGATACTTTCATTCTACAGCTCCCCGATTCCAGAAATCACAGATGCGGACATGGCTTACCAAGTCGAGGAAACTCACGCTGGCGACAATGAACAATCTTTCTGGAAACAGCACCGACTCTTCCACGCGGCTTTCACACAATTCTGCTACGTGGGCGCACAAGTCGGCATCGCCTCGTATTTCATCAATTACGCCCACGAAGCGGGGAGATCCGATGTCGCAGCGTCGAGACTTCTTGCAGGTGCGCAAGGGACTTTTACTCTGGGACGTTTCGTCGGCGTGGCATTGATGAAATACTTCAAACCAAGATGGATTTTCTTGGCTTATATGACGGGGTAAGCATGCAAGCAAGCCTTCTCCCAGACTCTGGGCCAACGTGGAAGGAATATGTCAAACTGACCTGGTCAAATCCCACAGCTGTATCGTTTTCGTCTCGCCAGCAATCGGGCTAAAACATGGAAACGCGGGGATTGCAATGCTCTATATTGTCCTATTCTTCGAGTCCATATGCTTCCCCACCATCGTAGCCCTCGGCATGCGCGGTCTTGGCCGTCATAGCAAGCGTGGGTCCGGCTGGATCGTGGGAGGAGTCTGTGGTGGAGCTGTGGTACCTCCAGCACTAGGCGCAGCCGCAGATCAAGTCGGGACTGCACGCGCGATGTCTGTTGCGCTAGCGTTCTTCTTGCTTGCTTGGGCATATCCATTTGCGGTGAACTTTGTACCATCTTATAGGGATCCTGCTGATAAGCTTGGCTCAGCGGAGATTGGAATGAAGGGAACGTTGCCACGTAAGGATGTTGAAGCGGGAAGTGATGGAGGAGTCCCGAGTGAGGAGGAGAAAGGTGGCGCAGTGCATCATGAATTGGAAGCCCAAGGCGAGGACAAGATCATGGAGACCAAGGCCTGAGGTACTTGCTAGATGAATCTTGCGAGTAATATTGTTGTGGTAAGAATGTCATCTGAGTTGCTTTTGAGAGGGGACGGTGGAAGCAAATGCCGATGAGGCAAAAAAGCGTCTACGCGAGGAAGGTAAGTATCAGCAATGCTTTGAGCTCCGCGTGCCTCTTTCTCCCTGCCTCATCATGCGTTGCCAGATGTCTAGTCGATAGCACCATACAACCCTCGTCGTACTCAAAGCAAAGCGCGCTCGCTGAATTCAGCATGGTGTCTCCGTGGTGAGCCATCTGATCCTGCATTCTGAAGTAATCAGCCGAGCTGTGATCTTGCAGCACTCGAAACGCAGGAACTGAAGATGGCTCCAAATGAGGGGTGCATTATCTCTCCGTTTGACAGTCGCGGAAAAGCGTGACAGTGAGGCCCAAAAGACTTCGAACTGGTAGTATTTTGAGCACAGCAGCTTTATCACATGTAGTCCTTCGGTATCCAGAGGCTTCCTGCATCGCTCGATCTCGTTGAATGCTTCAATGCTCTGACTTTGAACGCTGATCACTTGTCCAGCGTTTCCCTCGCTTCAATCAGCATGAGAAGGATCCAGTGCTCTCTCAAGCCTCTTTGATTGCACCAAGTTTCTCCCTCTCCATCCTCTCCCGCTTCCTCTCCTCCCTTAACGCCTTCCTCATCTCCCTCAAATCTGGCGGCATCTCGATCCCCAATCTATTCCTCAGCACCCCCACATCTGTTTCCAATTCCTCTTCCCAGTAGACATTTACGACCTCCTCCGCCTTCAGCCCATTCCTCAACGCCCAAGGCAGATAAATGTCAAAGAAGCGTTTCCTCTCCACAGCCTTCAACCTCACCACAGCAGCCAGCGACAAACCCGTCATCGGCAACAACGTATTCGTAAATTCAAAAGCCTTAATCGCCAACTCTCCTTCAATAATCACCGGCAAGCCCGTGATGGCATGCGTGAAGTCATGTGTCTCTCTATATCTCTGCATTACGTACGCCTCCTCAGGGTCGTCGATATACCGAACCTGATCCCTCGTATCCGGCGTGACACCTTCGCGATCTAGCCAAGCTGCATAAGCTCTTCCCACACTGTTTTCAGGAAATGTCCGTAATTTCTCTAGACTGATCGTTTGGCTGGTGATGCGCGGACGATCGCGGAGGATACGCCGACCATCTGGATGTGCGAGCATGGCTTTCCGTAGGCGAGAGATGAAGTAGGGTTTGGCAGTGGCTTCGCCGAGGGCAGCGATCAAGTCGTGTCGGTAGGGATCTTTCAAAGAGCCAAATGCGGAGCCGATGGCAAGGGCGCCGCGTTCGATGAGAGTGAGAGGGACATGTCCGGGATAGTTTGGAGCGGGGCGGGAGAGGACACTGAATGTGCGCGAGCGGAGTGTTGGGGGAAGGGAGAGGATGGCCTTCATTGTCGTAGTGGGAGGCATTCTACCCGGTCCAAGGTTGGAAGTCAGTTTCAGTGGAGGATGTGCATGTGCATGTGAAAGTAAAGTGAAGTGGAATACAATGCGGCGCTAGCGGGTCAAAAGTCAAATGGGGAATTGTGACGACAATACTTTCCTCCTTGCAATACATATCGGGACAGCATTTCTCGACCTCCATCGGCACGGACATCAGAAATCACAAAGCACTGGTAGGGGAATGATCCAGTAGTCAATCTGTCTTTCCAGTCGCTATACCGTCTCCCTCGCGGGATACCGAGGCAATACAGAAAATGCTGCAGAGGTAGCATTGAGGTGGGCCGTGGGGTCAAAACACTCTCCGACGCGCCATACCACTCGTGGTGGAGCAGACGCAAAATGGCCACGAAAGCAAAAGCCCAAGAAGAACAGCATGCAATGGGAAGCGGCAGTGGCAGAGGCGAAGGCGGTGGAGGTGGAGGAGAGGGGGGAGTCGCAGAAGAGCAGGTGGATGCGAGGACGATGGAGGCGTTGAGGGCAGCCATGTCTCCGGCGGACAGACAGTACGCCGCTCAGAAGAATGTGCCCCGGCGCATCCACATTGTCGGCACGGGAAGCATTGGGAAGCTGGTCGCGCATTCTCTGAGAGGAATACCAGATCCGCCTCCCGTGACGCTCATCTTTCATCGATATAAGCTGCTGCAGGCGTGGAATTGGAGCTCGAAGGTCATCACCGTACAGGATGGGGAGTTCACTGTCCCAAGGGGAGGATTCGACGTGGAGCTGGCCCCAGAGGCACGCGTGCAATATGGAAACGTGCTCCAAGAAGGAAAACCCGATGTCTACAGTTTGTCAGATCAGACCGGGCTGAAGCCGCATCAAGTCGCCAAGATTGTCGCAGACCAGCAGCGAGAAAGCGCAAAGCCGGATGGAGAGGAGGAGGCACAAGAAAAGAAGGTGGATTCCAAGCCCGTTGCAGCAGAAGAACCACAATCACCCTCTCGCAAACCCCAGCCAGGAGACTATCCCACGTCCGATGAGCCCATCCACAACCTCATTGTCTGCACCAAGACGATCCGCACTGTCGCCGCTCTCGCCGCACTCAGACACCGCATCACCAAAGATACCACTATCTGCTTTCTTCAGAACGGCATGGGGGTCATAGACGACATCAACACGACTCTTTTCCCCGACGAGTCCACTCGACCGCAGTACCTTCAGGGCATCGTCACTCACGGCGCCAACGTCCCCCTCCAGAAAGCCCTCGCAGACCCTTTCTTTGTCGTACACGCAGGTCACGGCACAATCGCCCTCGGAGCTGTTGTGCCCCCTAAATCTCACTCTCGCCCCGCAACGCCCACAGGCTACGGAACCGAGAACCCTGGCAAACTCGACGAGAAAGACGTGAACGAACTTCAGCCCACAGGACGCTACATCGTTCGGACTTTGACTCGGGCCCCCGTGCTCCAATGTGTAGCTTTTACGCCTCTCGAACTCTTTCAACTCCAACTCGAAAAGGTCGCCATCAATTCCGTCCTCAACCCCCTCACAGCCCTCCTCGACAACCGGAATGGCACAATTTTATACACTTTCGCTCTCACCCGCACCATGCGTCTCATGATAGCCGAAACCTCCCTCATCATTCGCAGTCTGCCCGAATTACGAGGTATCCCCAACGTGCCCAACCGCTTCTCCGCCGAGAGACTGGAGACCTTGGTCGTGAGTGTGGCGAATCAAACTCGCGATAACATTTCGTCCATGCTCGCGGATGTTCGCCGAGGCGCACAGACGGAAATCGAGTATATCAACGGGTATATCATCAAGCGCGGAGAGGAGATGAACATCAAAGCGATTGTCAATTACGCGATAATGCAGGTGGTGGTGGGTAAAGCGTTGATGTCTCAGAGAGAGTATGAGAGTGAGGTTCCGATGCAGAAAAGGGATGTGAATCGCGAGTAGGTACATGTGCTAGGATGAGGTTCAAATGTAAGGTATTGTATTGTACATTTCACGATCTGGGGTGTTTTGCGGAGAGGACTTTTGGGAATTACAACCTCATATATTGTACATTCGCTTGATTGCTTCCTTTCTTGTTGTCGAACAACGAATGTTACATAAGGTAGTGGCCCACAGAACCCCCCCACAAAGAGGGTATCCTACATTTCCTGGGGGTAGGAGGTAGGGTGTGCCGTACGTCAGAGTAGGGGAAAATGTGTTCACTCGCGCCACCGTCTAAGATCATATTTGGCGTAGTCTACTGCACGAAGCGGGCCGAAGCTTTAATACAACCATACCGCTCTTGTCTAGAGAGTCTATCGTTGTATACCACCACGCAGAGGTAAAAGTATTCACGCTCATCAAAGAAGAAAAAAGCTTCCTCGTACCTAGACATTGTAGACCTTCCCATCTTCGCTTCCATGTCCTCGTGTTCCCTTTCGCTAACTACCACTTAATCTTACCTACCTTGGCTACTCAAACATCGGTTTCTCCGCACCAGAAGACTCCTGACTCAACCTCCTCGGATCTCCATGCTCAATCAAATGCGTATGCAATTTTGCGACTTCTGGTATAATCAAACTTTCAATCTCCACGGACTCTTTTTTACCCTCTTCCGCTTGCGGCACTCGAATCCATTTCTCTCCTCCGCCTGCAGAGACGAAGAGCACTTCATATTTTCTGGTGTTGAGCATATTGCCAATGACAAGATGATGCGCATACTTTTTGAGGGCATACGCACATTTTTCTCGTAAGAGAGAAGGATCGGTTTCGAGTTTGAATGAGACTATCATCGCTCTGGGCGCCCATCCGTCGACGAGGAGTTTGAGGAATTTGGGGACGGGATCGAGGTCGATTTTGAGGAGTTTTCCTTCCATGTGTGCCGCGGGCTGCTTGGGTGTTCCCGGGCCTCCGTTTTTGGTTTTTGCGGCCGTGGCAGTATTATTAAAGTCTTCGGAACTCTGGATTTTGTGTTCGACCATTTTCTCTGCCGGCACGAAGAAATCGCTCACAGCTGCGGCCAAGTAGAACAAGCCATCGCTCCCCAGCGGTTGCATCAGCTCGGCCAGACTTTTTAAATGCCACAAGTAGTCGTTGACAGTGACAAAAGGTAGTAACAGCAATAGACCGTCCTTTTTGACTTTCCTATATTCTCTCAGAACTTTGCCCATTTCATCCTGATATCGACTCTGTACCGCCACAGGGCCATCTTCCGAATAGGACATGTAATCGAGAAAGCAATTCGTCGAGTGAGAGTAGTGGCGAGAATAAGGCAATAAGCTGAATTGCCGGTGAAGGAAAATCACGGCATATCCGTTGGCGAGAAAGTATTCTGCGGAGGTTGCGCCTCGGGTTCCGGCGGAGAAGTTGTCGATGAAACGAACGGTTTGGTTCTCCAAGGGGACTGTGGTGCCTCCAGATGTGACGAGGGCCACGCGGCGATATGCTGAAGCATGTTGGGAGATGAATGCTTTGGCGGATGTGAGGTGTTGGTCCAAGGAAGGGGGACTGGGGTTCGCAGTGAAGTATTCCATGCTGTCGGTCTTGATAACAGGCCAAATCACAGGGCCAGGACTGTGTTCTGCGTGGTGATGGACCGAGTCTTGAATCGTCTCCTCATCCGGGGGGCCTCAGGTCGTCTTGGGTCAGCAGCGGAGGAGTGGCAGAGGGCGGAGGATGCTGATCCATTGCGCCGGGGGAGGAGAAGGTGTCGAGGGGATCTGAGGTGATGTGGTGGTCGGTCTTAGACTAGTGCAGTGCAGTATTGATTCTCCACCGTGAGAAATGAGAACAGCTGAAGTGTATTATGTAATCATTTGTTCCATACCACAGGCGCTCACTCTATGGACCACTCAACCTCCATCTCCAACACACTTCCCACCACCCAAGTCAAACTGCCTCAAAATGCCTCCCAATCCAGCCTCAGGCTCCACGAAGAAAGACACGCCGAAGAGCAACGACCGCAACGAATACATCCCCTCCTTCATCGCCAAAAAGCCCTTCTACATCGACGACTCCACCGTCTCCTCCGACGCCGACTACCTCCTCCATCAGCGTCTCCAAAACGATTCCCAAAAAGAAAAGGACTCTCTCGCTGCCGCACAATGGTACGAGCGCGGTTCCAAAAAGGGTCCCGCAGCGACCAAATACCGCAAAGGCGCATGCGAGAACTGCGGGAGCATGTCTCACAAGGAAAAGGACTGTCTACAGAGAAAGAGGAAAAAGGGCGCGAGGTGGACGGGCAAGGACATTCAGGCTGACGAAGTGGTGGGAAAGGTCGAGTTGGGGTGGGATGCGAAGAGAGATCGGTGGAATGGGTTCGACGCCAGCGAGTATCGGGAGGTCATCGAGGATTACGAGGCTGTCGAGGCGATTAGGCGGCAGGCTGCGAAGAAGGAAAATGGCGAGGAAGAAGATGAGGAGGGTGATGAGGACGGGGATAAATATGAGGCGGAAACGGATATGGGCAGGAAACAAGCTACTTCCACACGGAATTTACGATTGCGAGAAGATACGGCCAAATACCTGGTGAACCTGGACCTGGAAAGTACGAAGTATGACCCCAAAACGCGGAGGATGCTTGAAAACAAAGGTGGCGATCCGAACAGCCTTGATGCCGACGATGGCTTTGCGGGCAAACAGAGTGGAGATGCTGGCGAATTCGAAAAGGCTTCGACATATGCTTGGGAGACACAAGAGAGAGGCGACAAGGATAAGATCCATATTCAAGCAAATCCCACCGAAGCGCAACTGAAACGCAAACGTAAAGCTGAAGAAGACATCCAAAAGGCTGAGGCAAAGAAGAAGATGTTGGCGGAGAAGTATGGTGTGCAGGATACTTCCACTTCCAACAAGACTGCGCAATTGGCTGCTACGGGTATCACGAGTAATGAGCGATATGTCGAATACGATGAACGAGGAAGGATCAAAGGAGAGGCGGAGAAGAAGGAGAAGAGCATGTATCCCGAAGATGTCTACCTCAACAACCATACGAGTGTCTTTGGAAGCTGGTGGAAAGAAGGGCAGTGGGGGTACCAATGCTGTCATAGTGTGGTGAAGAACAGCTTTTGTACTGGTGAAGAAGGGAAACGGGCGCATGAGGAGTCAGAGCAGTTTTCACGAGGTCTGATGATTGAGGCTACACCGGTGGAAGTTGATGGAGAGACTGCGGCAGCCGAAGAGGCAAGGGAAGAAAAGCATATCCCGAATGGTGTGGATCGACCTGAGAAACAGATACAGGACGAAAGTCGAAGGAGGATGGAAGAGCTGCAAGCTGGCGGTGTCACTGAAGCCGAGATGGAGAAGTATCGACGTGAAAAGACAAATGCTAATGACCCCATGGCGAAAATGCTGGGCAAGGATGAGTTGCTAGGTCTTTGAATACAGAATCAACGTCTGTATGGTACGTCCTTGACGTACTACCAGTATCATCGATCCTCTGTCTCGTCAGCAAGTCAGATGATCTCAGATCGAACATGCAACTGCCGAGCCTCTGTTAGAACAATAACGTGAGGCGACTACTCACATCAAAGCAACAAAGCTTCAGCTTCCAACCGAGGCTACTCGAGCGGAGTAGAACCAACAGGCCCCCAGGTCCAGTAAGTACATCAACAGTAACTAGGTAAGGTAAGCTTCACCACATGAAGCAAGGTAAGCAGCAACAACATCACTCATTATCATCATTAAATCCAAACCAACCCACAAATTACCACCCAAACCCCAAAACACCCATCCCAAATTCTCACATAATGCCAGCAGAAGAAAAACAAGAAGAAAAAAACCTCTGGACCCTCTACAGCCCCCTCATCTCCGGCGGCTGGAAATGTCTCTCCTTCAACCTCTTCTCCAAATCCCACCCCCCAAAACTTCTCGCCCAACCACACGGTGCCACACCTCTCGGACGACTATACATTTCTCCTCGGGGTTGGTTAGCTGTTCATATTGCTGCTGTTCCGGATCGTGATGTTGCGAGTGACAAAAAGAAGGAGGATCATGTGAATGTAAATGGTGGGTTAGCGATGTATTGTGGGTATTTGAAATTATATCGGAGGGGAGGTGGAGGAGAAGATAATGGGGAAGAGGAATTGTATTGGCGGACTGTGGTGGAAGTTAGTTCGGATTCGAATTTGATTGGAGGGGTTCAGGAGAGGAAAGTGGTTTTTGAGGAGATGGAGAGGAAGAAGAAGAAGAGTGATGGTGATAGTGGCAGTGATGGTGGTGGTGGTGGGGAGGAGGAAGAAAAGTCTTATTATATGATATTGGAGCCGAAACAGGATTGGATTATGGAGGTATGTAATATTGGAGTTTCTCTTTTTTTTCTTTTCTTTCACTGCCGGCTGCTGCTGGCTGGCTGGCGTTGGTTGGATTGGATTCCTTTCTTCCCTTTCCTTTCCTTTCCCCCCTTTTTTTCTTTCGTCTTTCCTTTTATTTGGGAAGACGGGCAATATCTTCTTTTCTTTTTCTCACACTGAACTCTCAACTCTCAACTCTCCAACTTTCCAACTAACCAACCATAAAAAATTCCCCTCTGCGGAAAACAATAGGACGGAACAAAAACAAGAGCGATTCTCAAGTGGGAGAAGTTTGAATGAATTTTTTTTTAAACCATCTACCTCACTACTCTCACTCTCCTCCTACCATTTTGTTCCTAAGATACCCTAATCTATTCTAACTGACCCTACCTCTCTCCCAACCGCCAACTACATGCCCTCCAAAAGACTAACCCCTCATTGTCTTCTCATTTTTCAGTTCTCAGGTCCCAAACCAGCGAACCAGCCAGCCAGCCAGCCAGCCAAAAAAAATAAAAGAAAAAAAAAAGCCGCTAGCTTGCAACTCGTCCCATCTCCTTTTGTTTTAATCCTATCCCCCCTCTCCCCTAGCTCTTCCCTTCTTAACCAACCAAAAGAAAAAGCCGCTCGAGGAAAATCCACTTATTCATTTGACATGCATCCTCGATACTCTGTCCATTTTATGATGTTTTTAGACCGGTGTGAAGGAGGCAGTTTGTATTGGGGTCGTAAAGAAGAAGGAGAAGAAGAAGAAGAAGAAGAAGAAGAAGAAGAAGAAGAAGAAGAAGAAGAAGAAGAAGAAGAAGAAGAAGAAGGAGAAGGAGAAGGAAAAGGAGAAAAAAGACGAAACGGCCAACAAACCGTTTCGGCAAGAAAGAAAGATTGCTTGAAAGTTGAAAAGCGTTTCAAATATTATCAACAACACATTAATTGTTTTATCTCTTACACAAAAAAGTACACATTATCGAACTACTTTAGTTGCTTCCGAATTGTAGCATCTGTACTCTGTTTGCTCTCTCTCTCTCTTTCCCACTCACTCTCTATGCAAAAATCATCCACCCATGCTCGCTCGCTTTCAAGAGGTATCTCGTGCTGCTGCTCGCTAGGAAGCCTTCGCTCCCGAAAATGCACCGTTCGCTATGCAAGGGAAAACAACATGTAGCTTGGTGCCAGTGACATGCCAAAACAGCGAACAAAAAAGGGAAATCCATGTGCACATCAGCGTCCAGGTTCAACCCGACGTTTTGCTTCTTCCATGCACACGCAAAGACGATGGCTTCAACAGATTGCTGAAACTGCCACTCCTGGACCATGGAGCTGAACGTGGTTCTCTGCTGGGTCCAGTCCGCACGGCCTCTTGCCAGCTCATCAACAGCTCTCGAGGGTCATTTACAATCACTCTTCTCCTCGAGGAGGAAGGTGCTGTTGTTGCTGCTCGTTGCGTTCCGGCCTTGACAGCATCCTGCCAGCTCATACACTTGCGCTGAACATCACCGTGCGCATGGACATCAGCGTCAGCCACTGCTGCATTCGCAGCTTTTCTCCAAGTCATCTTTTGCGCCTGACTCTCGCTTTCCAAGGTCGAAGTGGTCGGCAGTGAAGAAGATGGCTAATCTCCAGTGCGTCGACTACTTCGTTCTTCCTCTTCTTCCAGTACATCACTCAATCGGGTGGGATGGTGATGCCGGCCTTGCATTTGATATGGGGCTTGTTGTTGATAGTCCTCGTAGCCAGCGCCTTCGTAATCTGGCGGATCTGGACCTGTCGTGGGCACATATCCAGAAGCCATTGCCGCAGCACTTGACGACGGCACCGAGGGCGCTTCCGGCACCATTCCACCACCATACATCGCGGCTAGCTCTCGTTCTCTGCGAACAGCCTGTTCGGTGTCGTAGTCGTCTTCGCTGTCCACACTTCGCACCTCGCTGCGAATTTCGCTTCGCGCAGATGGCTGAGGACGTGAACCATAGGGTATCTTGTTGCCATGATTGTCCAGACGGAAGGACCCTGTATGCTCGAGCTCATACTCTGTCGAGATGTACGACTCCGGCTCTGACCGGGTTTGTGAACGGTTTTCTGCCCGAGGGGGCGGCATCATTGCTCCAGGAGGGGGCCTGGATGACTCGCCTTGCGAGGAGTGTAACGAAGTGCCGGTCCCACCCTGCTGATAGAAACGTTCAGGGCTTGTCGCGGACGGCTGGACACCTTCTCGCATCTGAGCAGGATGAAGCGCAGTTGGTGCAGCTGCTGAGCTTACCTCCGTTTGCGCTGCTGAGCTGCTACCCTGAGGATAGTATGTGCCTTGCGCAAGTGAAGGTTTGCCAGGCTCATGTTGTTGTCGACCACTCTCGGTGAACGGATCAGTGATCGTTGGGGAAGGACCCTCTTCGCGGTAGTATTGTCTCTCATCATCACCAGGCGTTGCCAAACCTGCCGCTCCTGCCGAAAAACCAGTGCTTGCATAGCCAGCTTGAGGCCCATCCCTGGTGGCAGGTCGTTGTCCTTGACTTGCGCTGCCAGTTCTGCTAGGCTGTCCAAAATACGGCACCACCTGTACTCCACTGACCACAGTGATTCGACCCTCCTTAAGGCTCTGAGCAGTGTCTAGCGACTCTTGATTCCGCCTGCCAAGCTCTTCCCACGCACGGCGTGCCTCGTCTTTGCTAATCATGAGCTCCCGCCTCATTTCAGCAACTTCTCGCTTCGCACTCTCGACAGCACTCGCAGCTTCCGCTTGCTTTTGTGCAGTCTCTTCGCGTGCCTTGCGTTCAATGTTCAGCTGCCTCTCCATGCCTGCCTGGAGTTCACGATTCCGCTCATTATCGGCTCGTGTCTCAAAGAACCATCGCTGAAACTTGCGTTCGCTACTGGCACGCAGCCTTTGGAGCTCTACGACCGCATGAAAAAGGTTGGCGCCTGCTGCTGAAAGATCCGTAATCTGTCGAGCGAGTGTCGAGGCCGTGGGGACCTTCTCTCTGATCTCGTCCGTGTTCTGCTCTAGCTTATGCAGCCAGTATGAGGTAAGACCTTCCCAGTGGGAGGAGAGTGTTTCCCATCGCTCAAAAGCGTGCGGGAAGGATGACTGCGTGTTCCGTTTTGCGGCTTCGGCAGTAGATGCTCCTGGTAGTGAGGTCGAAGGTCCTACGGCTGCGCCAGCTGTTGTGGCAGGTGCCGGTTGTCGTGGTCCAGCTTGACCAGACTGTGTCCTTCGCGCGGCGGCGGGCGTAGGCCGAAGTGGTTCGGGTCGTACGGCAGTCTGTGGTCGCTCCCCGCCAGGCGGATCTTGACTGAATCTACCAGTCGGCTCTCCAAGCATAGTGGTTCCTGCAACTTCCCCGGCAACCCTACTCTGCCGCCTCTCAGCCGCGGGATCATCAAATCCATGCTGCGCTCGTACATCTGGGCTGTACTGCGATGAGGAGCTGCTGAACCTTGGGGCTGCACCAGAGACAGTAGCTGCTCTCCTCTCTGCGCTGCGTATCCTCTCCTCGGCCAGTCGTCTCTGCTCCTCCTCTTCTTCTTCTGCTTTCTGCTGTTCCTGCCTTCTGGCCTCACGCGCATTGCGATCTCTCATGACATCGCGTGGGGTTCGGATGGGAGTGGTACCAGACACAGGTACCGGCCCGCCTGTTCGTGCTCCACCATTGGATGCTCGCGCGGCACTGCCACCGCCGAGATCCGACATTAGAGCGTACTCCTCGACCTCGTCCGGTGTGAAGAGCTTGGGCTTCCGTAACGCGTCCTCAAGCGCGTAGAGGATTGCGGAATGGGTCCGTCTCGAGATGCGCAGTGCCGGGTGCGGCGTGGAAGTACTGTATTGTGCACTGGTTGCTCGGCGATGATATGTCGGCTTGGGTGGTGTCGTTTGTGACCGTAGCGGCGGACTCTGTTCTCGAACGTTCACCGGTGAAGGTTCGGTCCAAGCAGGCGCGTCTACAGACGTCGATCGCAGACGCGATGGCCGTGACTCCTCGAAGTGAGGTGTACGCCGAAGACTGCGACTTCCAATGCTGCCAGACGAACTCGATGGCCGCGAGAGATGCTGCAGTCGTGCGCGCTCGAGTGCTGAAGCTTGGAGGGCGCGTGTCCACAAAGAAGACGTGTAAATATCAGCAACAGGAACACTCGCAGATGGTTGGTCGTGTAAATCGTGTAAGTCGTAGCGGTCGTTAAAGTTGCCGCGGAGAATGGCCGACACGGCTGCTGGAGAATGCACAAGTAGTCGCGAGAAAGTGTACAACGGGTTGGAGCACAAACGGAAGGGTGGCGCAGGATTGCGCAGAGCCAATGGCTGGTGAGGATCGACGTAGAGGCAGCGGAGGTAGCTGTATGTAGGTAACAGCAGTTGAGGCGGTGGGTGCTGGCAGCGTCGGCCAGAAGCGCTAGGTCAGGTAGCTAGCAGGGCGAAGTCGCGTCAGATCTGGATCAAACGAAAGACGATGAGTACCTAGATCTGGGAGAACGCTGGGGTAGAGACAGTGAGACCAGAGCCATCGTTGGACCAGGGGAAACGGAAAGAGCGAAGGCGGCGGCGAGAAGTGGTTTTGATGGGCAAGGGTCATGACGGGATGCGCGAGTGGAAGTGTCGCGTGCAAAGAAAGAATTAAGGGTGGCTGGAGGGAGGTTGGGCAAGCTTCAAACAAGAACAAGAAGGAAGCGACCCAAGTACAGGCAGCACGGGCGGCGAGCGAACAGCGCATCCGACAACGACTCGTCACTCACCTAAGAGGCTACCATTAAGCTTGGCTTTCCCGTCCTGCGCAATACTGGTCTTCTGGTCTAGTACACAGGTCTGGTACTCTGGTACATTCACCTTCAGCCTTCAGCCTTCAGGAACCAGGTACAATACCTGAACAATGACGCCGTGGCAGTGCGGAAGTCGGGAATGTCGCAATCATTCAGCAGGCAATGTCTGCTCCCTGTCTGTGCCTGTGATGGGGGACTGAGTAGATCGGGCGGTGAAGTCGGTATCGATGCTCGAATGCGCTGCGCCAATGCCTAGGTAAGGTATGTACTGTAGGGTAGGTAAGGTAGCAAGTAATATTAATAGGCAAAATACGGATTCCCGTCCGTTTGTCGTTTGTATGCTGCTGCTGCTGCTGCTCCAAACCGCGGTTTCAATGTTTGTCACACGTTCGACGCTGCGGCCGTTACCTCGTCGAGAGCCGGTGCGCGCGGTCGCTCGTGCTGGTCGATGGCACGTAATGCGAGAGGGTGGAGCAGACGTGTCGACACCATGCATGCGACTGAGTAGTTAATAGGAACCTGTAAGGTACACCTGTAGTGGTGACTGGAGAGAGAGAGAGACAGAGAAAGACAAACGACCAGACGGCGGCGGCATTGACATTCAATCATCATCATCCTCACTCATCCTGCAGCAGAGAGTGCAGCTGGGCAGGTGAGCGTGCTGCCAGCGCACGGTGCGGCGCCACATCCTGGTCGAATGATGGTGGGTGGTATGCCTTGCATTCGGGCATCGCTTTCCTTGCTAAGAGGTATGGCCGGAAATTGAGGCACTGACTATCCGTGTGGGAATAGAACAAACATGCAAACATGGCTTGGGCGGCGACGAGAGGAAGATGTTTGACAGGTAAGCAATGTAAGGTACAGGGAGAGAGGAGGCCGCCGCCCTCCTTGGAGGTTTTCTGTTCTGGTTGGTGTCGGGCAGCTGTGGTGGTGGGCCACTGGGCATAGCTCACCTGTCCAATAGGGAACCAGAGAGCTTCCTTGGGTGAAATCATCCATCTCCTACGAAATAATGTACCTCCTACCTCCTAGGTACCTACCGACCGTTATCATTTCACCATGAGGTGTATGATTTAAAACGTCGCTGATGCAAGAGCGTTTCTGCCCGCCTTCAAGTTGCATTGACAGCTGCACGGCATAAACGCACGTCTTGCTCCCCGTACCGCAGACATGTCGCCAGCAGCCATGTACCTAGTAGTACCTCTCCTACGAACACCGTATGTCAGGTACACAACAAATATTCCCCGCTGCTACAACAGACAAGCCTCTACCAGACTACCACTTCGAATCGCTCGCTCGCTTGCAGCGTGTGCCGTGCCAATAAAACGTATAGCAAGGTACCTAGCTAAGTAGTGCACTATGAACACTTCGGGTTACGAGACATGGAACGTTCGTTAGAAAAACCTAGCATCCCATAGCTATATCCAACTTCCTTTTCTCACGTAAAAAGATAGGAAGGGATATGCGACAACAGAAGAACCTGATGATACGACAACACTCCGGGCCACGAAAAATGTATCAAACAAGTCTCATGCCTGCACGTAAGGTTTGCCGCCCGCAGACCTGTTCCTTACCTGACCTTACCCTATACCTTAGCTTTTAATATACGGACTGCTTCTGGGATATGCTAGTCGAATTGAGGAAACCGCCTCGCTTGGAAGATTGAGCGATGAAAACGCCCAAAACCTCTATTGCACCACGATCAGACTATGTTCAGGCAATAGAGAACCTAAGTGCCAGGCAGGTAAGGTAGATTTTCCGCAAAAGCGTCTAATGCTATTTTAGGCAACTTGAACTTCCTCCTTCCTATCTACCTACTCTTTCACCAAAAACCCCAAAGCAGCAACAACATACGCATCAATCCCCACCTTCATAGTCGGCTGAATTTGCGGCGCAAATTTCGAATTATGATTCGTCGGAATCCCCTCGAGTCCCAACGTGCTCCCCTCTCTCTCAACACAAGCATCATACAACTCCTGCTCCGTCCCACCATACATGAAAAAGCTCGTAGGTTTCCCCACTGCACTCCCCAAAATACTAAAATCTTCCGAGCCCGCCAGCTTTTCACATGCGCAATGATAATGGACGCCGTCCGTGGAAGCGGGAGGGGGAGAAGATGAAGAGGTGCCGAAATGGGCTTGGAAAGATTCTTCGAGTTTCGCGGTGACGCTGTCGTCGTTGGTGGTGAGTGGGAAATCTCTCGTAACTTGCACGGTGGGTTCCTTGACAGCTCGCAGACTTAAGCTTTCGGCTTTGACGATTCGTTCGACGGAAGCTAGAGCTTTGGCTCGGGTGCGGTCGTTGTCTGCTCGTACATCGACTGCGATTCTGGCGTCGTCGACGACGATGTTTTCGGTATCACCGGCTTGCACGCTGGCTACGGTGACGACACATGCGTCCATGGGGTCTATTTCGCGAGAGACGATGGTTTGGAGTTTGATGATGGTGTGAGCTGCCATGAGGACTGGGTCGACGAGGCGGGCGGGCATGGAGGCGTGGCCTCCTCTTCCGTGAAGCGTGATGCGCATGCTATCAGCAGAGGTGGCGATAAGGCCCCTCTTCGTACCAATCATGCCAGCGCGCCAGGGTACGACGTGGCCGCCAAGGACAATGTCTGGAATGGGAACGTTGTGTCGCTTCGGGTCGTATAAGCCATCGTTGACCATGTCTCTCGCTCCAGTTCCTCGTTCCTCAGCGGGTTGAAAGATGAGAAGCAGTGTGCCCGACCATGTCTCACGTGCTGATACTAAAGTCTCTGCTGCTGCGAGGAGGCATGTGATGTGCATATCATGTCCACACGCGTGCATGACGGGCTTTTCGAGACCATCTTGTACGGAAATTTGGCGAACGGTAGAGGCATAAGAAAGGCCCGTCTTTTCCTCGACTGGTAAGGCGTCAAAGTCTGCTCGGAGGAGGACCGTCTTGCCTGGGCCGTTCCGGAGGAGAGCTGCAATCCCGTGGCCACCAATGTTTGGTCTAATGTCGAGTTCTGGCGAGATCCGTTCCAACTCTTGGACAACTCGTGCTGCAGTCTCCTTTTCTTGATTCGAGAGCTCGGGATGTGCATGGAAGTATTTGTAAAGGTCTTCGTAGTAGGGGAAATCGGGACGATGCTGGTTCGTGATCTCGGAAATGGACGAGGCCATGATGGGAGTGGGAAGTCAGGCAGAAGAACAGAAACGTACATGTACAAGTACAGTGCGATAATACCTATCTCGGGTACTTACACACACAGCTTTCGGGCAGTCTACGTGCGCTGCGCAGTCGAGTTATAACGTGAAGTCGCAATAATGTGAGCGCCGCATTACCTTAGCCGCGGGCCCACAGGAGCTTGCCCGCGCGGCGCTCTGCCGAGAGCTGAAGCTATCAGAGAGCTGTCTCATGATGGCCAGCCTAGCTTGTAGTAGCTACGGCATGCGGCGTCTAGTCAAGTGGTATGCGCGCAACAATCTTATGACAAGCAGTCACCGTTCATGCCTCACGCTTCTGGATCCCCAACACAGCTCGTCCACGGCTGTCGAAACTCCAGCAGATCACGCTGCCCAAAGATTTCGCCGACCACGACTAGGATCATATCCAGTGTAGCCAAAGTATTCTCTGTCGCTACAGCGTGATGAGTTTTCGTAGGCTGTGCGTTTAGCGGGTCTGATGAACGGTCTACTCCATCATGGACATCTACTTCGGCGCCTTCCAGAGCACCACTGTCTGCATCTGTATCTGGGTGCAGCATCGCAGGCGTGTCTTGCTCCTGCTGCTCAAGTGCTTCGAGTTGTGCGGCTGTCTCTGGGTCGCAAAATTGCAATTGCAGAAAGACCACTCTCTTGCCGAGCTCGCGAAGTGGGAAGACCTGGTCGTTGTTCATATTGCCGACATCGTCCAATCTGCATAGCAACGACCAAATCCAGGCGCTGGTGACAGTCTTGATGTTCTTACCCTTCACAAGATATGCTTCTTGTAGAAGTGCCAGGAGCCGGAAAGCAGTGTCCTGGCTGATTGAGCGCACCTGAGCGGGCATGGGAGATCTGCTGCCCAACACATGATGCCATTTGGCATATTGTTTGCGATTACCCTCTTGGTAAGAGGTGGGATAGCCGTCACCGAGCTCTGCTAGGTCGGCGGCATTGTTGTTCATTTGGAGGCACTTGCGCTGCATCAAGAAACGCTCCCGGAGAACTCCCGTGAAGACGTATTGTGGATCTGTGATATCTGCCTCTGGAACAGGCAGCGCTGGACTGGCGATATATGTATCCTCCTCAATCAGACAATCATTGTCAGCGTCAGGCTCTTCACCATCTTCCATGTGGTCGTCCAAGACTTGCCGTGTTGCTGCTAGAACTTCGGGAATGGCTTGCCGCTCTTCTCTGACCGAGTTGAGATATGCCAGAGCCTCTTCTGTTGTGCTGTCATACTCCTCCTCGTGATCGTCGTGGTCGCGTGCTGCAGCGCCTAGAGCGAGTCGTTGTCCCGTTTCGGGATCTCCAGTTTCGCGAGCTTTCCCACTCGTCCGACTCTGTCTGAATGTGACTGCTCGCGGCACTTCTTTATCAAGAGTTGGTTCCCATTCCGCGCCCTCTTGTCCAATCCTCTGTTCGGGCTCTGGTTTTGTGTTCTCCTTACCCTTGAGCCCAGAACTTGGCGCAAGTTCGGTTACAGCGCCGACGGTTACCTCACCCTCTCCTTCGTCTTCAGGATACTCGGTCATTTGGTAATTGGCAAGGCGACTGTCATTCACTGCCAGCTCTGCCGCCTTCTCGACTTCGCGCGTCGCGACTTCGTCATCTTCATCGTCGGTGCCGTAGCTTAGCAGGACGCGCTTGTTGGGATCGTAAGCGCCATCTGGCGCATATTTGGGCTTGTCGCGTTCTCTGCGGCGCTTTCCCATCTTTCTGCAACGTGTGAGAAGAGTGCAGTGCAGTTGTGGAACAGGTTGTGGTCATCAATGAGGTAGGTAGGTAGTTACCTAGGTAAGGTTCGACAGACTTTTCTTGGCATCGAACCTCACGCGATCTCACTACTACCTACCTACCTTACTGTATCTACTATGCATTGACCCTCGACATCGTCTTCTGCTCATCTGACACGTGTAGTTTACTCAAGCTCTCTCGCTACCCAATTCAACAGTTTTACCACACAGTCAGGCCCTTGAATCTCTTGGCACCTGTTCCCAGATCGTGCGCGCCGTGCGATCCTAATGGAAAGACTGTTGGTCGAGTCGAGCCACGTAGGACAACGATGGTAGCTCAGCCTAGCCACACGACTGCCTTCTTGAGCAGGCTACCCTTGTGGTAGTCCTCGCCATCGGAATTGCCGGCACGGAGGATAGCTGGACTGCAGAGGAGAACGACATCACATCCGTCCAGCGACTTTGGGTCTGCCTCAAGGGCCATGCCGTGAATGCTGTGCGGTTCGAGCCACTTCGATGAGGACCTGTACACCAGTGCGCTCTCCTCAATAGCGCTTAGCACTGGGAGGTTCGCTGTCTGGATGCGTGCCATCCGTGTCCACAAGCTACTAGACAGCTCTACCGCCTCGAGCATGATTGACTCAAGTCCCATCCGTGCGGGAATGCTCTCGTCCTCCGATTGCTCACCCATGAAGTTCTCCATGATAGTCGCGGCAAGCACCGATACTGCAGACTTCTGACTCCGCTCAATCACATATCGAATTTGACCAGCGGACTCACTTTGGTTGTTGGTAGCTGGCTGAAGCAGGCGCAAAATCTGGCATCTCACAGCTTCGCACGATTTCTCATCACCTATCATAGTCAGTCACGGAAAGAAAGAAATTCAGAAGACACCCACGACTCACCATCATTCAGGAACTTGAGCAGCTCTGTCAGAACTTGTCCATAATGGGCCGGAAGCATATTGTCTTCTGATCGTCCAGCGAAGGCAAAGAAAGGATCCCCGATGATCTTCTGCATGATTTCGAACGACACTGCAGCAGTCAAAAGCAAAGAGAAAGCTTTTCCTGGCTTCTGCATAATCTTGCTATCCCTCAGGCACTTCATCAATCGGACCGGATCCGCTAGGCAACCCCGATCTACAAGACGATTGACTATGGTGTTGAATGTCTGATTTTCGGAAAGCTCCTCCAATGGCAACTTGGAATGCCTATTTGCCCACTGTCGCACATGCGACAAGAGCACCTTGAGCTTGTGTTCGATAGTCGACGCAGGTTGGGAAGGCCAGCGTGTTGCATCGGCAGACTCCATCTGAGCGGATTGCATGCTCCGGACCGTTCCTTTGAGCGTTGATATCTCATTCTCAAGCTCTCTGCAAAGTCTCCGGCTGGCTTCACATTTCTCGCTCATGTCCCACGCCATCTTTTGCGCGCCTTGCACCTTGCGCGTTGCCTTCTCATGACTGTCGTGGACCTTTTGCTCACAGAGGGCGCGGAGCTTATCGTATCTCACGTTATGCTCCTCGATCAGATTGTGATCATGGAGGCGCTGCGCTTCAAACGCATGTTCGCGCAAGCGAGCATGACGCTCGAGGCGACCGTATGCCTTCTCCAGTCTGTCAAATTCAGACTCCATTCTGGTTATCCGATCATTACTGCGCTCTTTGATTGCATGACCATGTGCAGACTCATTGGATGTGGCGCCCAGCCCCTTGATGAAGGTGAAAGCTGATTGCACCGGGTTAATGGCTCCCTGCTGCTGCTCCATGGGCTGCTCTTTCAGAGGTCGCACTGGATCAAAGAGGGTCCGTGGACGCTCGGACGTTCTTGCTTTGCTGTCACTCTCAGTAGCGGTGTTGTTCGCCTTGCTGTCTGCTCGCGCCTTCCTCGATGGTTCGGCGTCAGTGTTTGCTACCACTGTTGGGTGTTGAGCTTGTGGTTCCTCAGGAGCATCCGGCACGACCTGTGAGTGTTCAGCACGCCCTCCGATTATGCGTTCCATGCTGCTCAATGAGTCTGGTTGTTCTTAGGGTTCTAAGCGTATGGCGTGCGGATTTGTGCGGGCTTTTTTGTGCGGATTGATTATACGCGGTCATGGTGTTGTTATTATGCCTCCGCCGCGCTAGTCACTTCTAGTAACTTCTCTCATTCAAGCAGCAAACACTCCGGCCTTCACCATTCCGTCCACTACCCACCTTATCTCTAACCTCTTCCCTTGACGCCTCCAGCAACCTCAATACGCCGAGACCATGTCTCTCAAAAAGGGTCATCCAGGCCTTCCGCTGAAAGCTCAGCGGACTCGTGACGCTCCGGCAATTGAAGTGCACAAGCTTGTGGTCGGTATCGACTTCGGCACGACCTTCACGGGTGTCAGCCACGTTTCCACCGCAGGCGCTCACGAGAAGACTCTTGACGACGTGGAGGCTATCAATGACTGGTGAGGCTGTTTCGTCTCTTGGGTCGTACGCACTCGATAGCTGACAGCTTTTAGGCCAGGCTTTGGTAGAGATGGCGACTTTGCGATGAAAACACCAACTCGTCTAGCGTACAGCGATGACCCAGCCGCGCAAAATCCATGGGGCTACTACGTCCGTCCCGGTATGAAATCCTATTCCTGGATGAAGCTCTTGCTCGATCCTACCCAAGCCAGCAAGTTCGACGACCCTGGTCTCGCTGGCAGCGAAGGTTCCGGTGTCTTGCGCAAGCCTCTGAACAAGACTGCTGTCGACGTCTGCGCTGATTACCTTACTGAGGTTGCTAAGTATGCTTGGAAGGCACTAACAAAGCGCTACACCATAGAGGTTCTAAAGGCTACTCCGATTGAGTTCTGGTTGACCGTGCCCGCTGTCTGGAGCGACAAGGCAAAGCACGATACTCTGCGGGCTGCCCGCAAATCTGCGAAGCAGGCCAAGCTTGAATGCCACCCTGACAGCCAGATCTTCCTCATCCGTGAGCCAGAAGCCGCTGCTGTCGCCGTATTGTCGGACATGACGAAGGGCGCTTCCGAAGAACAGATCAAGGTTGGCGACAGTGTCATGATCATCGACTGTGGTGGAGGCACAGTTGATATCACAACCTACGAGATCTCCAGCATTGACCCGAAGCTGACCTTCAAAGAGCATTTGGTCGGTACAGGTAGGTTTCCTCGAGCTGTACTGGCATAAATTATTTGCTAAACATGTCCAGGTGGCAAATGTGGATCCACGTACATTGATCGTGAATTCATCAAGTGGATGACCGAGAAATTCGGGTCTGCCTACACTGATCTCAAGTGGGAGCTTCGAGGACCAGCCAGCAGGCTTATGAAAGAGTTCGAGAGCTACAAGCGAGACTTTGGCAAGTCTGACGACGCCGCTATGTATGCCGAGCTTCCGATTGCGCTGAAAGACGCCCCAGAGTCCGCTTGGTATGACGAGCTCGACAACATAGTCAATGTCTTCCCAGCGGACTTCAAAGAGATGTTCAAGCCGGTAGTAGAGAAGATTCTGGCTTTGGTGGAAAGCCAGCTTGATGATGAGCGCCGACAAGCTGGACACAACACAATCAAGGTAAGTCTGCAGATATTCTAGCGGTCCCGCGACGCTAACTCCTTAATGCAGACTGCGATACTTGTTGGAGGGTTTGGAGATTCTGTCTACCTCTATAATAAGATGCGCCCCTGGCTGCTCGCTCGTGGTGTGAAGCTGATCAACCCAAAGAACGCGTAAGTGACCATTGCCTCCCTCAGATGCCACAAACTTACACCATCTAGGCAATCTGCTGTTGTGCGTGGCGCTGCGCTGAGTGGTCTCAAGAATATTCAGCCTACATCTCGTCGCTCGCGTCTACACTATGGCTGGTCATGTACTGAGGCATTCGATGCAATGCGCCACGACGTTCGCGATCTGTTCGTCTCCAGTTGGGATGGCTCTCCACAGGCGTCGGGCAACATGCGGTGGCCACTGTCGAAGGTAGGCGCTGCCCTCAACTCTGTCTGTATATGTTTTGCTGATAGGACTAGGGTGACCTTGTCGATGAGTCAACCGCTATTCAGTTCGCATTCCGCGTGGAGCTCTCCTCGGACAAAGTCAACGACTCCTACCTCCTGAAATTGTACTGTAGCGGCGAAAACGACGCCCCGTACTTCGAACGCGAGACTGGTATGATTGTGCTACTCCTATGTGCCCACTTATCACTTACTTTCTTAGGCGTTCAGAATATGGCAACCATATATCTTAACTTCAGAGGTGTCGACATGAGCAGCTTCGAGTCTCGAATTTTTGGTGGCAGAAGCATGCGCCGTGTTTATTGCGACATCACCGTAAGCTTCGGTCACCGCCGCGGAGTGCTGGTCTTTTCGTGCACAGTGAATGGAAAGGAAATTGGCAAGACGGATGTGATCTTCGATGGCCAAGGGACCGCAGATGCTTCAGGGAGCTGCACCGACAGCTCGATGGCGTCTCCTTCTTGCGCCTCACAGTAAGGCGCATCACAGACCTCAAGATACAGGTGAGAGATAGCGACCTGCTCAAATCAAGAACTTGGCGCCTAGCAGTAGGTAGAGCTACCTGACCATAGTGGACTTGGACCGCAGAAAGCTTGGCACATGAGCTGTTGTACAATCAGCTCCACGATGGCCATCAAACCCTTTTCCGTCCATATCCTCACCTCACATATATCCTGCTGTTCCCAGAAGAGTCTGTACCTATGAACCTACCTGTATTCCCCACCTCACCCTCACACGAAATCTCACACCCAGCACTTCATCATATCATCATCCTCCCTGATATATTCCTCCTCCATCTTCTTGGTACAGCAGGTCTGCACTCCCGTCGGCTATCTGTTGCTCTCAAGCCTCTAACATTATGCTTGCGGCAAGTACATGTACTCAGCTGACGTCCATACCTTATCTGCGACACGCGTGCGTGGCCTGGAATGACGCGTCAGATCTCGAATACAGGTACATCAGGTATGTACATGTAAATGTAAGGTAGGTAATGTACCTAGGTATATATCCAGGACTACCTGTAGATACCTAAAGAGAGCTGAGAGCTGCCTACCTACTCAGAACGGTCGTCGACGCTCGAATGCTTATAAGCCGCTCATAGGTATTGCAATGATGATGTGAAAGTAAAGTATGCACGCAGGAAAAGAAGCTGGCAGTATGGTAGGTATACTGTAGTTAGGTATCATTAAAACACATTACATATCTTTTCCTTGCTTCTTCTTTCTGGGTGGTATCATATATGCACACTTTCTGGTACAAACTGGCCACTGCTGTCGTGAGGCGTCAATACATGGGTGTCGTGGACAAGATCGCAAATCTTTCCTCTTCTCGTCTTCTTCCTCCTCCTTCTTCTTTCACATGCACACATCTTGCTCATCATGTCTTTCTCTGTCGTTTTTGATGATTTCAAAAGCATTGCAGGTACGTGTTCTCTCCTTTTTTTTTGTGGTGACGAGCTTACTCGTACCTAGATGCCCCAATTAGCATCCTGCACCTATACTGGCCCACGTGCGTATGAGGTAGGGTGTGGAACTTCATCGTACTCTTCCTTGACCACATGACGGTCACTGGTGTTGTCGATGAAACTTCCCCGGCTCCGTGTGCTCCTCTTGCGACCAAAGTATGACTTCTTTTGCTTGTTGGTGTTCTTGCCAGCACTTCCTCCAATGCAGACCAGGATCGAGGCCAGGAGGAAGAGTGCCACGGATGCCCATGTGAAGCCGTAGGCGTAACGGCCGAGTCTGGCGGATTGTCCGTTCGAATTGAGATGGTCTCGTGCCTTGACAGTCCATGCGCTGGGTGTGAATTAGCCTTTTGATCAAGTTACCAAATGGAATGCAGCTGTACTCACGTCATGAGGGAAGCAGCAATTGTCTGGAAGATGAAAGCGAGCAGGCCGAAGAAACCAGTAAGGTAGGCTCCGAGGCGCGCGCAGATGGCGAGCAAGCTGATGAAGAAGGTGATAACGGCGAAGAAGATGGCAATCAGGTAGAAGGCCCAGGCGACGCGGCTCGTGTAGTAGTAGTAGCTGCTGTGGTCGAGGAAGTATTGTGGGACACCCTGAGTCGTGCCAAAATTACGCTCCAAGTCGAATGGAATGGCAGCGCCTCTGGAGGAGCAATCCGCATTGCGGCTGCCCCTAGCACCGCAAATGGCGAGGTAAGTCCATCGTACTGGGTTGAGACCAGTGGCGCGAGCTCCTGGGCTGCCATTGATGCCGTTGGAGGTGCTCTGCAGGAAGTACACCCGGTTCAGTGGGCTGCTGTTGATTCCGGAGAGAATGACGAAGAATTGCAGCAGTATGCCTCCAGCAGTCAGAATGATGGCGGTGATGGCGAGGATGGGACCTATGCTGACATCAGCTGCTGCGTTGCGCAGACTGGCATTTGTTTCCGTCGAGCTACTCACGTGCGACAGCCATGGCGACTAGGTATAGCGACCAGGTACAGTCGTGATTTGAGGTGTCGACAGGGGCAGGTCAAAAACAGCCAGGCGGGTCGGGTGGTTTGGGGCCGCTGGGAAGGAACGCGAGTGGAAGTCGTAAGATGCAACAGTCGCGAACAGGAACGGCTGAAGAAAGTCGGACAGGCGCACAAATAAAGAAGGAAGCCAGCAGAGACGACAAGCTTCGCTTCCCAGTTGGAGGTCTCGAGAGGGCGGGTGACGTGACGTGGTCGACTCCCGACGAACGACGGGGAGGCTTTTTCGATGGCGACAACAAAACAGCAACACGACAAGCTTCTTGGGATTTACACTTTGCCGGCGCTTGGACGACGTCACAACGGCAATATTGCGATCGGCCAGTGCCTTGCCGAATGGATGTCAGCAGCCTTTTTCTTCAGCTACCTGATCTTCTGTACGGCAGCGGCTGTTGCTGATCTCGAGGCGGGAGGCGGTGCTGAATTAAAGGAGTGTGATTTAGGAGGTACTCGAACATACAGGTAGATACATGTAGGTATGGTATAGAGAGGATTCCCTCAGAGCTCAAAGAACAGTTACGTACCCTACCAAGCTACCTTCTACGACATTCCTGTTCACTCAAACAATAAACCTCCATCCCCTCTCGCGTTGCCATGAGCATGACGTCGGTGTACAAACAACAAGCTGTGACCTGTGGTTCGAGCTGCACCACCTCGGACACCGCCTGGCTCATGCAGCTCGCGTGTACCAATCATGTGAGACAGCCACGGGTGACGGGAGCAGTCTAGTTCTACCTCCCTCGGCCTCTCTAGGCTTCGACATTTCAACGTGTGGCTGATGGCTTGGTAGTCAGGTAGTGCGAATACGCCGATCCGATTCTACACGCCGGCCCGCAGATGGATTGCGACCCGATGGATGGTACATGTACGGAGGTAGGTAAATGAGGAGCAGCAGGAGTGGTACTACAGTATATCCATCTGTCCGGATGAATTCGAAAGGCACCTTAGGAGGTACCTGTAGTCCTCTCACTCCCGAGTCCCGTCCTCTGTCGTTGAAAATAATGTGTCGGTAAGTTCCCGTGACCCCGTCTGTTATTACCTTACGATGTGATTCTTGTGGCCTTGGCGATCGGATCTGCTTTCCATCATGATCTGAGCTTCACTTGAGCCTCCTAGAAGGCTACTGAGAACTTGCTTCTGGTGATGCTGCGCAACGACTCGGTATACAGTAGCTGCACACGATGACAACAGTGCTGTGGCCTGCGATAGCGCAAGAGGACCTGATTCAGGAAGAAGAGGTCACAATCGCGCGCGAGCTCGAATGGCTGCTCGGGTCCGTGCAAGAGACGTTGAAGGCTTTGAAGGAAGGCCTGGAAGAGTGCGCTGAGCTGCTTGCGCCGAAAGAGCCAGGCTCGACCCTCGTACTGTCTTCGCTCAGGTCGGAGCATCTGAAGGGCTTCATCACTCGGGTGGGTACGCGCATCGTCAAGGGCGATGTCCAGCTCCGATTGCCATCTCTCCCACCGCCCAAAGGCCAGACAAGCTACAAGTTGACCATCTCTTCTCTGCCGACTGCGCCGACTATTGTGCTCGACCAACTGACTACAGCGCGAACACTGATCAACGCATGCCTGGATGTGGTGGACGCAACACAGTGGACAGGTGACAGCCGCAATGCCGACTTCATATCAGGGCAGCTACGGCTGCTGCATGGGAACATCGAGGAGGCCAAAAACTCCCTCAAAGGGTGGACAGAGAATCAGAAGCCATGGAACGAAACACCAGTCGACACCGATGCATTCAGTCCGCCTCTGCCAGCGCACGTGTCCTTTCACCTCTCCATCTCCGAAGCCGCCGTCCTCCTCAATGTCCGAACCCTCGAGGCCGTAGATCCACATAACGGCATGACTACTCCTTTGGGTTCTGCAGGTTCAACTTTCAGTGGATTTGGGTTACGCGAAAGACTGGCGACAGCATTGGGTGGCCCTAGGCAGGCTGCGCACGATGAAGCGAACGCATCCTTCATGTACAAAGGCCAGGAAGTTCGAGTGCGAGACAAAGTCAGAGTTGAGTCGCAAGACCCAAGTCTGATGGCAGCCATGGCTAAACTGGGGGCTTTGGAGCGGACTGCAGCACTGTCGAGGCGAGCGTTGGACGTGGTCATGGGGAGAGAACCGGAAGACTCCTAACAGCACGCAATGAATTCTCATTGTGCAACACATGCATTTCCAGGAGAGAACTACCTATGTAGGTATCACAGCACCCTCCACGGAGAATGCTTCCACGGCGGAGGTCTCGAGCGCAAACACACAACGTATTTGGTGGATATCCCGGGTGTCCACAAAGAACCCACGAGCACGCCACGCCACGCTTTTTCTGCATCTCCGATCCCGGATCGCCCCGCCATCAAAGTTTCGATAAGACACGATTATCAATGCCTGGCCACTGGCTGGTCGACCTTTTCCTATCAGTACCAAGACGAATTGCTTTCCCACGGCGTGTGCCCAGGCAACATTGTTCGTGGTCCTAGGAGGTATTAGTGGCGGCGCCATACGATTCGACTACTTCTTACATGCTGCCCTCCCCGACAAAGGCCTGCGACACTATCCTATTGTCCTCTCAACGGATCCGCCAAACATGTCGCCCGCATTGCTCACGGCAGTGGATTCCACTGCACACATACATCTCATCGTCGGCTCGAACCCTCTCGCCGGAGCCCGCATCAGTCGAGCCATCGAAGTCGGCGCCATCCCGATCTTGATCGCACCCGAGTCGACGAGTGTTCACTATGGACTTGCGAAGAGGATTGAAGAGCATGCTGTGCGTTGGCATAAGCGAGAGTTCCAGGACAGCGACCTGACGACTTTGGGTAGAGATGAAGTCGACCATGTCGTGGATGCGGTGTTTGTGACTTCAGGTGGCAAGACAGCCTTCGGTACCAGGATATCCACACTCTGTCGCAGGCTGCGAATACCGGTCAATGTAGCAGATGCGCCCAATCTGTGCACATTTACGTTGCTGGCAACACACACCTCTGGCCCTCTACAGATCGGAGTGAGCACATCTCGCAAGGGTTGCAAATTGGCATCGAGGATCCGAAGAGAGATTGCCGCCGCTCTGCCTCACGAGCTCGGTCCTGCTATCGACCGACTGGGTACGTTGCGGAGAAGGATATGGGAACAAGATCATGCAAACGAGGGCGAGGGTGAGCTCGAAGCTGAAGACGAAGAGACGGGACAAAGCGCCGAGTTCAACAAGCTTGTAATGCCTTCAGACGCCGAGGCTGCCAAAGCAAGACGCATGAGATGGCTGTCACAAATCTGCGAATACTGGCCGCTACGTCGTCTTGCAGCCATCACCGACGAGGATATTGAGCAGATATTGCAGGCCTACAAGCAGGAAGCACAAAGTACACAGTCGGACGACTCGAAGCCACCGCTCAACGCCGCCCTGATTGATTCTCGCCGTCTTCGAGGGCGTATTATTCTTGCAGGTTCGGGGCCTGGTCACCCAGACCTTCTCACGACCGCGACTCTCAAAGCCATTCGCAGCGCTGACCTCATTCTCGCCGATAAGCTCGTGCCAGAACGAGTACTCGATCTCATTCCGCGTCGAACACCGGTCCATATTGCGCGCAAGTTTACTGGGAATGCCGATCAAGCACAAGATGAGCTCCACAGTCTGGGTCTGGAGGGACTCCAACAGGGCAAGACAGTTCTGCGACTCAAACAGGGAGATCCGTACCTCTACGGGCGAGGAGCAGAAGAGGTGACATTCTTCCGACAACACGGATACGAAGCTGTGGTCCTACCGGGCGTCACTTCTGCGTTGAGTGCACCTCTGTTTGCGCAAATTCCAGTTACTCATCGTTCCGTCAGCGATCAGGTCCTGGTCTGCACAGGTACAGGACGGAAAGGAGCAAGTCCCAACCCTCCTTCATATCTGAGCAATCAGACTGTGGTATTTCTCATGGGCTTGCACAGATTGCAGGACTTGGTCACGAGTCTTGTCGAGCATAAGACCACTCCCTATCCAGTCACGACTCCGTGCGCAATCGTCGAAAGGGCGTCATGCCCCGATCAGAAAGTTGTTCGGACGACATTAGAGCACGTTGTCGCTGCATTTGAAGAAGAGGGCAGCACCCCACCTGGACTCCTTGTTGTTGGCGCAGCTTGCGAAGTACTGAAGAAGAATCCCCAGAAATGGGTGGTGGAAGTAGGCTTCCAAGGTTTAGATGCGCTTGATGGACTGGGAGAGAATGGCAACGGCCTCGACGAGTTAAGAGATGCACTTCTCACACCGGGACTTGAAGAGCCTATCAAAACTTTAAGCGCGCTACCTGTGACGGTTTGAGATAAAAGGTCTGACGCAGCGAGGCGATAGAAACGAACTGCGTACAAGCGTTCTAGATATATATTCATGCAAAGCTGCTCTTCCATCTTGCCCATACCAACCTCTCTCTATTTCTCTCCGGCTCCCTCTTCCAATCATTCATAACCAACCCTCAATGATGCCTATAGAACTGCCTTACCTTCGCTATCTATACTCTCATCCTTACCTAGGTAAGGTAGGTAGGTACCTTGGCTAGTACCTATATCATCACCCCATCTCTCTCTCCATCTCTCTCCATCTCTCTTCCCATCACCCCATCCCTCTCTCCAATCCTCCAATCGACAGAGTAAGGTACCTGAGATATCTCAAAGACACATCCTACCTACCTATTAGACAACACGGAGGTAGGTAGCGTGCGTATACTAAGCAAGCAAACCAAGCAAACTAAGCAAGCAAGCAAGCAGACCTACCTACGAACCTGGATTTTATATATATATATATATACCTCTTTCTTTTCCCATTCTTTCCCTACTTTCCTTTCGTTTCCTTTCCTTCTACGAAAGCCTACCTATCTATCTATCTATCCGCATCCCATTCCCCCCTTCTTTTACTAAAAGGACGAGCGTGTTTTTTTTGGCGTCTAAACGAGTGGTTTTCTATAGACATCCATACAAACAAACATAGACAATCAGACAACCAGACAGACAGATGAATCAGACATACAATCAGACAGATAGACAGATCATATAGTGTAAAGTAATATGTATACGCTAGAATGTATACGAAAATGTATACGCTAGAATTTATACGAAAATGTAAAAGGTACGAATAAGGAGAAATGAAAGGCTAAAGTCAGGTAGGTAAGTAAGGTACCTACCTAGAGATTTGGAAGATGCTGTTTTTTGGACTCTTCTTCATCTCGTGCTCGTGCTTGTTCTCTGCCGCCGCCGCCGCCGCCGTCGCTGCCGCTGCTCAAAAAGAAACCATCCGGAAAGAGCGCCGTCGCTGGTGTTGTTGTTCTTGTCCTTAAAAAAAAATCGTGAAAATCCGGGCCAATCTAAGAAGAAGAAAAAAAAAGAATTATTCCATCTTCCTTCTGGGGTTTCTTTCTTCCTGTCTGTAGCAATAGCCAAAACCCCCTCTCATAATTCACCCCGCAGCAAAAGTACTCTTCCTCCTCAACGCCTCCCCAAACCACCACAAAACAAACGGCGCAGGAATCCCCACCGCAACACCCACAAACCCCAACACCGTATTCCCCCACCCATACCCCAGCGTCTCATACATAATCGGCGCAAACAACGGAAACCCAAACCCTCCCAACGATCGAAATACCGCCGTAGCAGCAATCGCCGAAGCCGCATATCTCGTATACGCATCCACGAGATATGTCTGACAATTCTGAAACACCAACTGATTTCCTGCGGCGAAAATTGCTGTGCCAATGTTGGGAACAATCCAATGCACTCGAAATTGCGCAGACCAGCCATAAATGAGGAGACCGACGGGGATCATGACAGCGCCGGGAAACATCAGAGGGACGCGAAATTCCGAGCGACCGATATCGTTGTTTTTCGCTTTGAGTTTTTTGTAAATTTTGTCGGCGAATTGAGCGGCAATTTGTGTTCCGAGGAGGAAGCCCAATCCGAGAGAAATGTAATTCAGGCCGCCGATTCCGGTGCTTTCGAAGTATTGGTCGTGCCAGACGACGGGGAAGGAGGCGAGGACGAGGTAGAGGACGCCGTAGACGTAGGCGATGTAGAAGGCGAGGACTTGGACGATGGGTTGGGTGAAGAGGAGAATAAAAGGTCGCTTGAGAGCGACGCCGAGATGGTTGGCGAAACTGCGCGAAGGGTTATCGAATTCTGTGTGAAGGTTTGGATTTCCCGTCGATTTGATCAGTTTGCGTTTCTTTTTCGAGAGAATTGCCGCTGCGTAGGTTTCTTGCAGAAAGAACCAGCCGAGAATTTGTACGAATACGGCTACGATGGATGTCGACCAGAATACCCAGCGCCACGTGGATAATTCTGCTACCCAGGCACCGGCGATGGGGCCCACGGCGGGTCCGAGAAGGGGGGCGAGAGAGTAGAGGGCCATGGCTCGTCCACGTTCGGTGGGTAGCCAGAGATCTGCGAGGACTCCTCCACCGATTCCGAGAGGGGCGCTGCCACCGAGACCAGATAGAAATCGAAACGCGATGATTTCGGCGCCGTTGGTGGCGAATGCACAGCCGAGGTTGAAGGCAATGTAGAAGAGCATGCTGATTTGCAGGACAATTCTTCTGCCGAAGAGTTCTGACAGCGGTCCTAGCACGAGAGGTCCCAGAGCGAAACCGAGAATAAAGACTGAAAGCGCCAAATTTGCGAGAAATCTCGATCCCAAGTTGAGATCCTGTTGTAATTGTGGTAATGCTGGAGCCACCATCGAACTCGATACCGGAGAGATGAATGTGAAGAGTGATACGGTAATAGTCGCAAGCCATCGCTTTCGTTTCGACCAATTTTTCGGATTAGCAGGATCATCTGGACCCGCCCAAGTGACCAGATTGGAATCTTTCTCGCCCGTAGAAGAATGCTGTGAAGGTTTGCGCTTGACGGTTCCATTTCTCCCCATTCGCGAGGCATCACGGATGATTTGAATCTGGCCAAACGTCAAGCCTTCGCTGTCATAAGCACGATGATGATGATGATGCTGCGACCCTCCTCGTTCCTCATCCCAACTTTTCAAGTCGTCTTCGTACGCTTCTTCCTCTTCAGCCTGATAGTCGTGGACTGCACCAGCATAGTAATCCAGATCAGCCACAATCAAATGCAAATCCACAATACTCTCCCGTGCACCACTCCGTAGCGATCTCCCCGATCTCGTCGAGACATTCCGATGATTAGATTTCTCACTTTCCCGAAACCAGAGAGGAGGAGTTCCCGTGCGAGCATCTCGTACACTGCGAATAGCCTCGAATTCTTGCGATAACCAAGGAAAATCTTCACTAGAATGTCGAGGAGGTTTCAATTTGGCTCGGTCGGCTTCTTCGATGGGTCGGGCGTGCATGCCGTTGGAATCGTCGGTCCATCCGGAGTAGCGACTGTTCCATGATTTGACGGTCCCCGCCGTCGAGCGAGGAGTTTGTGACATTTTTTTTTTTTTGGTACTGATCGATTAGTTGTTGTTGTTGTTGTTTTTCTTAGCTCTTGACACCAACAACGTAAACGAGGGCGGGACGTGAAGCATAGGACAGATCAACAGCGTCAGGAGAGGGAGAGGGAGAGGGGGGTGAGCAACGACGTCCAAGCAGACGCTGTGTATATGAGAAAGGGTAGGTAGGTAGCTAAAGCACATCCACAGCGAGGACAGAGAGTAGTGGAGACCAGGGCTGTGCCCGAAATTCAGCACTACAACCTTTGATGTACCACAACCGTGCGCCTATAATCATCCCCATCATCATCATCATCATCGTCATAATCACTGCTCACGCCTGACTGCGCAGCAATAGAGAAAGAAATAGAGAGAGAGAATCCCGAAACACAAGACATTTCCTTCAAAGTCGGGGTGAGGTTGCATAGCGCATAGCTTGGGCCGCTTGGCCCTTCGGGTTACAAAAATACATTAATACACCAGGGCAAGTTATACCTTATTAAGGTAGAGGAACTAAACGTGGGCTAGCGCCATCGGCAAAAAGGTTATTGTGATCCATTCAAATTTCCGCCTTTCCCTTTTCCCTCTGGGCCTCTTCCTTTCAATAATTGTGTGTGCCTGTAGGCGCGCATACCCGCAGATCCCGTGGGGCCGGAGTGCGTTATGTATTGGTGTCTCTTTTATGCATGAGATTGGTTACACTGCGGGAAGGAAGCTGTGGTTGGTACGACGATGACGAGGACGACGAATAGATATGAGGGACCTACGCGAGGCTTACTGTATGTGGAGGATCATTCATTCATTCATTCATTCCATGATGACTTGGGGGCTGGATTACACGACCTTTTTTGCTTCCTTCGGGAAGCCAATTGAAAGCCTTACCATCGATACAGGTAGGTAAGGTAGGTACCTTTTTACCTTACGGACTATCTTTATCTCAGGTATGTATGGCAACTTCTGACACGGGAGAACTAAAAAGCCATGAGATGCTGTACATATGCATGCATGCATGCATATGTGCAACATGGTCAGCGGACTGAAAAAGAACTCAAGTCTCAGCTGGCGATAAGATAGGTATCGAACACAAAAATCCTGAGATGGGTGTTGTGGGTAGGTGGGTGGGTGGGGGGCAAACCTACCCTGTTCGAAGGCTGTTTGGCAGTTGTACAGTACAGAACTGTATAAAGAAAGAAAGAAATTGAGGTCGTCTACAACTACAACTACAGACTCCATAGTAAATCTATCTACCTACCCTGGATATTCCCCACTTTCACACACAAAAAAAAAACAGAAACTTACTTCTTCGACAAGCGCTCTCGGCTCATTTCCAACTGTGAAAAAAAAAAACCAAAGTCTATCTATCTTACCTTTTCGTCTATAAGCTCACATTGCTTTAATTCCCTTCTCGAACAAGAGCGGAGTCTACACTTGGTCTATAAGTTCAATTGGCAATTCCCTTTTTTCTTCCCCTTTACCCTTTGTTGTAAGAGGGACGGACTGTGCAGCAGCAGCAGCAGCAAAAAAAAGTTCAATTGAATGGTAATTTCGCGTAATAGGTAGAGATGTGGAATACAACGAGCTACAAGTACAGCTACTTAGCTATAGCGAATACCTAGAGAAGGAAATGCCTATAAGGTGATATTTGTAGATAGGGTAGACTCCCTATAAGGAAAAAAGAAAAAAAGAACAAAATCTCAGCTAGATCTTTCTTTACTCTATCTCTTCCCTTTCTATTGTCTTTATACACCATACTTTCACTCCTCCTCACTTTCCTTTCCTTTTTCCTTTCTCCTTTTTTCCTTTTTTATCTTGTCCCATTCCCCCCGCTGTCAAGCAAAAGTCTGCAAGTTTTAAATTTAAGAGTCAAACCTGCATCAACCTTTTTTCAATGTATGTGACTCCGTGTGTGTGACTCCGTGTGTGTGAGTCTGTTGAGAGTAAATCGTAGTTCGTTTCGACCGATTGTCTCAAGTTTAAACCCTCACAAAGAGGTAAACCTACTTCCTGTATATTCTTTTTTACAATGTTTATCGGGGAACAGACACGACTGACTGGCATGCCTTGTGTTCAAAGAAAAAAAGTTGGGGGTCTTTTTTGCTGCTGAGAATGTTCGACTATGCTGTTTTTTTCTTTCGTGTTTGCTTTCTCTGTTTTTTTTTTTCTTGAGAGCAATGAGATGCCTACTCGCCAGGCAGGCAATCATGGATATTAAAGAGCTCGTGTATAATCCGAACTGACTGAAATCAGAATTGGACATCGATCTCTATACATCTCAGAGACTTTTCTCTTCTTCTTCTTCCTCTTACTTTGGTCATTGACAAGGTCAACATGTCTGTCATTGTGCGTGAAGAAAAAAAAAAGCCAAAGTATGAATATCCGCAATAACATATACTTCCTACAAGAACAGCACGCAGACAGGAGGAGGAATAGTAGTCCCAGGTAATCGGCCTGATGCTGACTGAGTACATAGAAAGAAATCTTCAACCATCAAAACGTACCTCCTAGCCAAACCAAAAAAGAAAAACAGCACCCCCACTCCAACTTCTTCTGTAGTACCCAGGTTTGTATCGACCTCTTAACAAACAACAGAAAGTGCAAAAAAATGAAGATGTATACAAGATGTGGGCTCGATCCCGGGTTTGAACCGGGGACCTCTCGCAAATTTGTTCTCAGGGTGAGCCCTAAGCGAGAATCATACCACTAGACCAACCGAGCGCTGTGAGATGTGACTTTTCCTTTGAGCCAATCAACGTTGTGCCTCAATTTCATAAGATGTATATGTACCTTGAGAAAGTAGCACACCTTGCAAGGGAAGGCTTTGGGTGAGGTCTGGGCATTTGGGAAGAATGGTCATGGATGGAATGTGCATGTTGGATCTATCCACCTGTTGAGAAGCATGGAGGTACCAGGTATCCGTCTACGACACCCATTATAGGTCTAGCAGAGAAGCAATATGCCGCGGCTCTACACGCTTGCGCTCTAGCAAAGCTCTTGAGTGACGATCTCGCGGCCTCTCCGGCTAGAAGTCGCTATATGCACCCTCAGGCGCCCCGACGGAAAATGGACGACGATGCCCCTAGTCGGAGATCCATCACCGACTGCGCGAGGACAGGCTGACTGCGACTGCGGGCGCAGGCTGAGAGATGGGCACTGGAAATACTCTCTCCATACACGGGCAACGCCGAAGGAAGAGTCAGAAGCAGCTATCTATAGCTGCAACAGTACTCCTCGAGCTGATATAGGATTCCGCTCTCCGAAAGCAGCTCCATCAGCGCCCCCGAGCCTCCTGCTCAATTTCGACTTCCCAGACCTCGGTTTTCGTGTGGCCTCGATTTTCGAGACGACGACCATGCTGCTCGTAGGATCCTCATCTTCAAGCCGAAGTAACATCAGCAGACGTTCGAGGTGATACCTCTTTCGAAGATGATCTGCTCTCTTGCTCAAGGGAAGGGACAAGAGTAGGAGGGGAGTGCGTAGCTTGTGAGCAGAAAAGAGAAATGCGGTACTGCAAGAGTCGGTAGATGAAGCAAAAGGTAGGCGGCCTGTATGGATATCGTGACATGGAATAGGGTCTCTCGAGCTGCAGAAGGTCCATGAACATAGGTACCTTAGGGTAGGTATATGGTGCTGCGCATACCACGTCGAAGCTGCTGTCTAAGCAGGGCCATCATGAATTTATACAACCCAGGATCAACGAGCAAGATGAAAGTACCATGCTTGATTGCGAAGCTCTGTCCTCGCAAACTGGACGATGTTTGCTCTTTGCGCAGAGAAGGCGCCTCCGATGCCTCGCTCTTGCTTCTTTACTCACTCTTCCCACGGATACTTCCTGCCCCAGACCACACGCTACCTGCATTTTCTAGACACAAACATTCACAAGTCAACAACAACACCACCACCACCAGGTAACTAACCTCCAGGCCCCCACCAAAAAAACCACAGCAGCAGCTCTAAACCAATCAATACCGCCAAAATGTCCCATCCATTCCAAAATGGCATCCCAGACGACAACGTAGTCGAAACGAACGGCGTTGCATCATCATCGTCGTCCTCCCCTGCTTCCACCACCAGCGACGCGTCTTCGTTTCCAGATCTCTCTCTCATGGCCACAGGGCTGCGTGTCCTAGCAGAAGTCGAGATGATGGATGAAACTCGGCAAGAGGGTCACGGCCTCGATGGAAGCCTAGGAGCAGGAGCTGGAGCGCACGGCATTGCTGGTCCTGACCCTCCTCCTTCTCCGGCAGATCTTGGTGGTAGCAGTTCATCTCCTGTCGGTATTGGGCGTGGCAGTCCCCTTCCGCCTCCGGCCGCTTTTGGTCGTGGGAGTATATCTCCCCGAGGCGTTGGGCGTGGCAGTCTATCTCCTCGAGGCGTTGGTCGTGGCAGTCCATCTCCTGTCAGCAGTGGGCGTGGCAGTCCCCTTCTGCCTCCGGCCGATATTGGTCGTGGGAGTCTATCTCCTCGAGGCGTTTGGCGTGGCGGTCGATGGCGTGGCGTTGGGCGTGGCGTTCTCTATCCTGCCGACGTTGGGCGTGGTAGTCTATCTCCATTCGAATCTCCATTCGACATGGGGCCCGGCAGTCTATTTCCTGTCATCCTTGGGCATCGCAGCCCATCTCCTCGAGGCGTTGCTCGTGGCAGTCCATCTCCTGTCAGCAGTGGGCGTGGCAGTCCCCTTCTGCCTCCGGCCGATATTGGTCGTGGGAGTCTATCTCCTCAAGGCGTTTGGCGTGGCGGTCGATCTCCTCGAGGCCTTGGGCGTGGCGGTCGATTTCCTCGAAGCAATTGGCGTGGCGGTCTATATCCTGCCGACGTTGGGCGTGGTAGTCTATCTCCATTCGAATCTCCATTCGACATGGGGCCCGACAGTCTATTTCCTGTCATCCTTGGGCATCGCAGCCCATCTCCTCGAGACATTGCTCGTGGCTATCCATCTCCTGTCAGTATTGGGCGTAGCAGCCTATCTCCTGGCGATATTGGGCGCGGCAGCCTATCTCCTGGCGATATTGGGCGCGGCAGCCTATCTCCTGGCGATATTGGTTCTGGCAGTCTTTCTCCTTTCGATCTTGGTTCTGGCACTCTGTCTCCTGTCGACATCGACAGTGATCGTAGCAGTCAATCTCTCGGCAACAGTGTTCGCATCCCCCCATCTCCTATTGAAGCTGCTCGTGCCCAGGAAGAACTGGCCCGCATCAATGCAGTCAGCGCAAGCACGAGATGTTCCGCGCGCTTGGTGGTGCTGTGCACCCCAGAAGAGATACTGCGCATCTTTGAGAACGCTAGAGACTCCGTGCAGGACACTCAGACGAGGCAGGCAGATGACTGGATGTTGACGCAGGCAGCTCGGTATGATATTGATTGGATATATGTCTGCGAGATACACATCACATGCTGACTTGTGCAGGTTTTCGCAATGACCACCGTAACAAGATCCTTACAGGCGAGACGTCGAAGAAGCAAATGAAAGAGTGAACTGAGGTGGAAAAAGATCATTCACTCCTCGTACAACCACGTCCATAGACAAACATAATCTCTACAGAGCGAACAGAAATCCAAAAAAAAAAAGAAGAAAAGAAAAACACACATCAAAACGGAAGCACCTCCCCATTCCACTGCAAAATCTTCCCACTCGCACTCTCCCTCGTCGCCTCATCCACCACTTTCAAAAACCCGGCCACACTCGTCTCAACGCTGATGGGCGGCTCTGGTAAAAACGCTTTGATGGCAGGCAACATATCCGTCTCCACCAATCCCGGATGTAGTGCAATAGACGTGATATTCGGAGCTTCTCCATGGATTTTGGAAATGAATCCATTCACAGCCGCTTTGGACATGCTATAGGCAAGAATCGGAACGGGACCAGCCATTTGTGCGAAGGCGTTTGATCCAATAATGGATGTTGTTACCTGCACGTTTGTCGTATGAGATTATGTAGATTGATGTATCTTCTGTAGATAAGGTAAGGTAGGCAGATGGTATAGGTAAGGTACTTACGACAAATTTCGGATTCTCCGCTCGATCGAGGAGTGGTTTCGTGGCTTGATAGAGTAGAATTGGAGCTATGGTGTTGATTTCTAAACTTTGCCGAATCCAAGAAATGTCGAGTGAGGATGCGGGTATGAGACTTTCTGGGGGGAGGATTCCGGCGTTGGCGAAGACGTGGTCGAGATGGGTTATGGAGTGGGTCTGGAGAGGTGGGAGAGAAGGGAGGGGGTTAGATATGTGGTTTTTTTTTTTGTTTGTTCGTCAAAGGGTACAGGTATGATGTGAAAATGGTCTTTTCTTATACAAGGTAGGTAGGTTACCTTAGGTACATACATACCGTCTGAATCTCCTCTACCACATTTTTCGCATCCGAATCTTGAGTCGAGTCCAATTTGACAATAATCAATTTACTACTTCCTTCAGCGCAGCGAGGAAGATTGTGTAAAATTTGCGCGGCGGGTGCTAGAGGGTCTCGCACACAAGCGATAATTGTCGTATTGGGACGTAGGAGGAGAGAGGCGACGAGGCCTTTGCCTATGCCTCGTGTTGTGCCTGTTATGAGGTATGTAGTAGTAGGGGTGGGGGTGGTGGAAGACATTCTTGCGAAGAGGAAGAGGGCGTGGTTTGTTTGGGGTTGGATGTGGTTGTTGTTGATGTGGATGATACTGTACTTGACCCTATAGTAGGTAGTGCTTATGCCTGCCTACCAAGAGGGGGGATGGGGAGTAGTCTCTTTTGTGCCCCTGTCATTTCGTGCTTCCCCCCGGGGACTTGTTGTTGATGATGCCTGTTAGTTCTTCTATCGTTGACATGGAAGTCCACGCCCGGATCAGATCCTCGCTTCGTATACCCGAGGCCGATAGTAGAGGAGCAACTCTGCTTTGATTATACATATCTCTCCTGGGACTTATGTATGATACAATATCAGTACCTTAGGGAATAGGTATTTTTCCTACACGTGTAGGGTGTAGGTGTTGAAAGAGGTAGTTTTAGCTATATTGTATAATTGTATTTCCGAAAATCCAAAACGACGCGCGAACGGGCGGGGAGTCGGCAGGGTAAATCGCGTGTACAGCTGACGCGCACTCGTTCTGAGGTAAGCCGCGCGCGTCGGTTCTTGGCATGCACTCGAAAATAAAACACTGCACTCGTTTTCAAATCTACTATATTTTGTAGCGTAGTCTTGTAAAATATCGATAAAGGTAAGTTTCTAACATTTATATACTATGTTAGTACTAATAATATAGTAGTAGGATCGGGATAGTAGGTTTAGAGAAGTCGACAAAGTAAGTTCCCTTTAACCGTTACCCTATTGTTATAGTAACATTAGCTATCTAGTATTTAAAGAAGTCGACTAAGTTCCCTTTTACCGTTATCCTATCGTTATTATAACGTTAGTTCTTAAGTAAGGCGACTATTATTAACTATATTATCGAAATTTTTCTAACTTTCCTTTAACTATTACCCTACTGTTATCGTAACGTTAGCTATCTAGTAGGAGAGATCAATAATAGAGTCAATACTCGATAGTAGAGTCGGTATAGAAGATTTAGAGAAATTGATTAAGTTTCCTTTAACTATTACCCTACTGTTATTATAACGTTAGGTGTCTAGTAAGAGAAACATTAATAATAGAGTCAATAGTCGACTCTTCTATACTAATTCTACTAAGTTTCCTTTAACTGTTACCCTACTGTTATCGTAACGTTAG